AGGTTGTTTTTATTAGGATTTAGGTACCTGTATGAAAGAGTGGTGTCCCTTTATTGTGTACTCGCCAGGGTTTGAATGGCTAAAACTATGCACGAGACATGGACTACGTGCATAGGTCAGTTTATGACTCCATGTCACGCCCTATGAAGCGAACACGATCTTCTTTATGAGCTTTTGATTTGACCCCTATGAACATAGAGTGATCAGGGACCCATTTTATATTTATAAGTAGGCCTACCTAAAGTTAACCTGTTATTACTTTTCTTGCGACTAGAACCACTAAGCCATTTACACGATCGAAACCGCAGCTGTCAAATTTAACAAAGACGATTTTTACTCATAATTTCGACCCAATATTTTTTTTTAAGCCAGCATAGAACAAAATTAGCATGTTAAGTGCGTAATTTGCTTAAAGTTTAAACTCAAAACTGAGTCAAAACCCATTTAGCTACGCTTATAACATTTTGAGTCCGTAATTCGTAATTTTTTAGCGGCCCCCGAAAGGAGAAAAGACGCTATTAGTTTTGTGCGAAATGTCTGTCTGTCCGTCCCGTTTAGATCTCGTAAACTAGAAAAGATATTGAAAATCCGACATCACAATATTTTAGACCATTCAAAGTTCTGATGCAACGGCTACTTTTTTTTCTGAAAGCGAAAAATCTAATTTTTAAAATCGGTTATGCAAGCAGTTTTTTAAAGAGAAAAAGCTAATTAGTATGCATTATAAGTTAAACCTAAATTAAAACGATTAGTAATCTTGTAAACGTCATTTTCATCAACAACTCTTTATAGTGCACACCATATTCGAATAAGAGATTGAGCATTTTCAAAACAATTTCATCAATTATAAGACTTCAATTAGGCCATGAGATGCGCGGTAGCTGAGCGGTAAAGCGCTAGGCTTCCGAACCGTGGGCCCCGGGTTCGAATCATGGTGAAGACTGGGATTTTCAACTTCGGAATCCTTAGGCGCCTCTGAGTCCACCCAGCTCCAATGGGTACCTGATATTAGTTGGGGAAAAGTAAAGGCGATTGGTCGTTGTGCTGGCTACATGACACCCTCGTTAACCGTAGGCCACAAAAACAGATGAACTTTACATCATCTGCCCTATAGACCACAAGGACTGAAAGGGGAACTAGTTAGGCCAGGCTCACATCTAACTTTGCATTCACTTGCACCTATCCTTTGATCTGCTGTACCGTTGGGGCACAACACAAGATCTGTCAACCTTCTTTCTCCATTCTTATCTCTCTTATCTCGTTGTGCAGGCTACATGACACCCTCGTTAACCGTAGGCCACAAAAAACAGATGAACTTTACATCATCTGCCCTATAGACCACAAGGTCTGAAAGGGGAACTAGTTAGGCCAGGCTCACATCTAACTTTGCATTCACTTGCACCTATCCTTTGATCTGCTGTACCGTTGAAGCACTACACAAGATCTGTCAACCTTCTATCTCCATTCTTATCTCTCATTTGTCTTTGATATAATTTCATTTGGATGTTCTTTCTGAGAATATTGAAGCCTGTCTGGGAGGGCCACTTCGGTGCCGATTTTGAGTTTGTGTTTCCACACAAACTGTCTTTGTAATCTTGTTTATATTGAAGAGGTATTTTTTAGCTTCAAACCCTACTGAAGAGGGGGGGGGGAGGTGTAAACTCAGAACCCCTTTGGATACGCTAATAGAATTTTGAGTGTGTAATTGCCTTTTTTATATTGAAGCGGGGGTTTATCGTAAATTTTGGAAGGGGTTTTAAAATCAAAATCTTCCTTAACTGTGCTCTTGGAATTTGGGGATTGTCGTTTGCATTTTTTTTGTTTTGTTTTATAGAAGAGGGGGATTTAACTGCAGAAACCCCTGGTAGGGGGTTATAAACTCAAACCCCCCCCCCCCCGGTAGGGTTTTTTATTTAAACTCAAAACCCACTTGGTTGTGCTGGGGCAAGTGATGGTTAAGTATTAAAATCTCACCTAAAATAAACAAAATCAAAGCGAAAAATCAGTCACTAAATTTATTTAATATCGGGTGGGGGGGAGGGGGGTTTCTCCCTGGCTACGCCCAGTTAGGGTGAAGTCTTTTCTCCTTCTTATAGTCTCGGGCGTTACACAACGACATATAAATATATATGTAGGATATAATGTAAGATATTTGATACTAAATATTTTTTACACTGTTCTTTTATTTTTAAACAAAAAAAAAAAGGTGTTCGACCTGTAGAGTCTATTTGTATTCGTTTTTAAATTAGAAACGCTTTCATCCAAGAGACGATTTAAGAATGACACATGTAACAGACTTTCCTGAAACCTTGGTGCTATGTGGAAACACAAAATGTCTTTGTTAGATTCATCCCCAAATTAACGGTGACCTCTAAATGTACTCGAGTCTTCTCTCCTTCTTATAGTTTCGGGCGTTACACCAGTTAGGGTGCAGTCTTCTCTCTTTCTTATAGTCTCTGGCGTTACACCAGTTAGGGTGCAGTCTTTTCTCCTTCTTATAGTCTCGGGCGTTACACCAGTTAGGGTGCAGTCTTTCTCTCCTTCTTATAGTCTCGGGCGTTACACCAGTTAGGGTGCAGTCTTTCTCTCCTTCTTATAGTCTCTGGCGTTACACCAGTTAGGGTGCAGTCTTCTCTCCTTCTTAGTCTCTGGCGTTACACCAGTTAGGGTGCAGTCTTCTCTCCTTATAGTCTCTGGCGTTACACCAGTTATTGTGCAATCTTCTCTCCTTCTTATAGTCGCGGGCGTTACACTAGCTAGGGTGCAACAGACCTCAATTTCTGATATAAATGAATTTTCGAGTCTTTTGTTTAATATTGCAAGTGGTGGGGCTGTTAAAGTGTTTCATTTCTTTTATGTTAATATCGTTACCAGCTTTCCTGACACGACTAACGTCTAAGTTTTATTGCCGCCAGACACAGCTAAAAGAGAGAACATATGTTCCCGAAGCTAAAAGTTGGGGCTACAGCCCTTGCGAAGTTTCAACAGATATTGCAGAACATGTCCATCGACGATGTATACTATTTCCAGAGGCCCGAACTAATCTCTGGCTCCAAACACAACCAATAGGAGAATACGGAGCACTGCTAGATCTGGGAACCACTGCGCAGTTCACCTCAGATATAGGACTAGCCATCTGAACCCACCAACAAAATGAGAACAAAAAACAAATTGATAAGAATATTTCACAAAGAACAAAGATTTATGTTGAAAAAAAAAAAAGGACAGTTGTTAATCGCATTAATATTTTGTCATTGGAGAAAGAGACTGTGAATTAGAGAGACAATGAAAGAGATGGAGCCAATGAGAGAGAGAGTGAGAGAGAGACAATTAGACAGACAATGAGAGAGAGAGAGAGAGAGACAAAGAGAGAGAGAGACGATTAGAATGAAATGAGACAAAGAATGAGATAAAAAGAGACACACAATGAGTCAAAGAGAGAGACAGAGGATGAGAGAGAGACAAAGAGAGAGAGAGAGACAATGAGAGGTTGACAGAGAGAGACAAAGAGAGACAATTAGAGAGAGAATAAGAGACAAAAAAGAAAGAGAAAAAGAGACACAGTGAGAGAGAGACGTTTGCATGTTAACATCATGACAAAAACTGACTTCTAGAGAAGAAACCCTGCAAACAGAATGAAAACAAAGTCCTTCAGATATTACATTGTATATTGGTATAAACAAAACGTGTATATGTTTGCAAAAGAAATAATATAAAAATAGCAAACATCTAGCGAAAAAGGCACAAGTATTTTAAAACAAACAAAATAAAAAATTGTAAAGATGTTTTTGAAAATATGCCATCCAGTAACATGTCACAACTATTCACACAAACTAACATAGCCTACAGTTTAAAAAGAGTTGTTTACAAAGAAAATAAATACTACTTGAGCACATTGACAAAGGTTTTGAATTTTGAGCTATTAATAGATTTAGAACTGCGAATACACTGATGCAGAATACATATATTTGGTCAATGCTCCATTTTTTAAAATTATTAATAAAAAAAAGAACGATATTACATAAGAAGATTATTTAAAAAGAAAAAAAAGAATAGATAATGAAAACAATTCTTGGATTGCATCAATAAATCATGTATAATAGAATTATTTTCATCTGGTCCTCAGAAAACGAAAAAACAAATAATGCAACTTTGTCTTAAATGACTTTTAGTATTAACATTAATAATATAAAAATATAATAAATATTACATGATATTTGTAGAATACAACCTAGCTTTTATACCCCCAGACCTATACAGAAAACTAACTCATATTTACTTGACTGTGGCAAGGGAACGAGTTGCATTAAATTGCTGTGTGTGGCTTATTAACAGCAGAAAATAAAGGGAAGCTATTCAGAAGACACACTGAAAGGGAAGCCACTAAGAGCACATAAACAGGATGAAAATGTAATCATAAAGGAAATGTTACTATGTTAGTGATAGGTATACAGAAGAGGAATGTAAAAAAAGATATATGTATCGGTATACTATACTAATATATATAGAAAATAATTTTTTTTAAATTTCAGGGTTCTTGTGATGAGTTTTACATCCGCGATGCAAAACTCTCAAAATGTTATTAAAGTAAAGTACAAAAAATACACAATACACTCCAAACGAAGGTGTGGCACCCACTGCCCATTTCTGGATTTCAATTAGATAAACTCCTCCCCAGTGCAGGTCATGCATACCAAGTTTGTTGCCAGTCAGAGGGGATACGGTAGGGTTATTAGAAATGTCCTAAAATCTTTGAAGACATTGTTGTCCAGGAGAAGTAAATGATTAGTAAATCTGGACCACGTCCTGTTGCTATGAAGCTTCATATTAAAAGAACACAATAATTGGTTTGTGTGTTAGACTGTGTCGTTCGGACTTACATTAGTCCTGGGTTCAAACCCTGTCCGCTCCCATCCCCCATAGTCCTGTGGGCTGTTTGGACTAGGAAGTAAATTATCTTCAACTCCCTGCAAGTAAAATATAAGTTTGCTATAAAACTTTGGGGGGGGGGGGGGGGTCCACAGCTATCTAGATCCATTATACTATGGCAGTTTCATAATAATAACAGTATCTGTACAAACATGTTATAAAGTCAGTGAGCAGAGATCAAAACAAACAACTGGGTGATTTAATAAAACATTCAATTTAAAACAGATTTTGATTTGTAGCTAACACAGTATATTAGGTCAATCTCAAAATTCCTTAAAGCAAGGAAGATAGTTCTGACAGATGGTCCAGTTATAATGATTGGTAAAATTTGAAAACTGACAGATGGTCCAGTTATAATGATGGGTAAAATTTGAAAACTTCTGATTACAAATCTTGATCTACACATCTTGTTGTATTACTGGGCCAATCCTTCAACTAAACATAAAAAACTTAACATTTTATATAAACTTAAAAAATTATATATATATACATATATATAAAATTGCTAATGCCTTCTTGGAAAACAAATTTTTCATGTAAAGCAAAAAAATAGTTAATGCATGGAAAAAAAAAAGTTATAGAAATTAAAATGTAATTCATATGAAGATCTTAGATTTGTTATGCAATTTGGTCATGGAAACAAATATCTAGATATCAGATACATCACTCTTTACTTCATCTGAGACTTACTTTGCTTATAGAGCTGAAAACAAAAGTTCAACTTCATATCACAGGTATTAGGGAAAAGAAAGGGGGGGAAGGATAACTAACTATACAAACAATCATTCTAGAAATAAAGTTTTGGACAACTTAGTAAAAGAAAATAAACAACACTTTTATTTCCTCCAAGTCATTTTTTTTTTGCCTAGACAAAAAAAAGTTATAATTTGTATTATAATGAAGTAGGCAAATTAAAAATGTAAACGTCTCTTTAAAAAAAAAAAGATTACAACAATTTAAGAAGGTAAAGCATATTTAGTGAATACAGTGGCTTGTCATAACATAAAAAAAATATTGTGTATTTCTAACAGATGAAAGATCAATTAAAAAGTCTAATCTATTCATAGACACTGATGTTTTCCAAGAATGGCTGATTCAAAAACAATTTACTAGGTCACTAAACGTAAGAAACAAATTTAAATCTTAAAAACAATGTGCTGATGTTGCAAACTAAATTTAAAAAAAAAAACTGGAATCAATTTAGGGCACAAAAAAATGGCAAGGAAGATATGTTAAAGAACAAAAATAACAGGAATGCTGTAAAGGGATTTTATATATTTATATCTATATATATATATATATATACATATGTATGTATTATATAACTTTGTTGTAAATATTATATTAATACCAATAACAATTTCTTAGCAAATTTCAGTTTTTCATTTTTATTAGAAACCAATGAGTAGGGCTAAATGAATGAGAAAAGAAAGTATGCAAACCAAATGTCTAGTTAGAGAGTAAATCATAAAAGTTACAGTCAAACTTGTCACAAAATAGAGAGATATTTGAAAATACACATTTTTAAAAATCCCAAAGGTAAAAAAAGCATGATTAAAAAGAATGAGATAACTTATCTAGCAAGGAATAAGCAGGTTTTTATGGAATGGTTGTTTTATCATTAGTTGACATAATCCCCTAAATATTTTAAGTTAGCTTTACCCTAAGGGTACAAATTTGAATAGTATTTAGTGGTTGTGGTATATTTGTAAATATATATATATAATTACATCTGATAATTTATCTAGCAAGGCATAAGGAGGTTTTGTGGAATTGTTGTTTCATCATTATTTGACCTAGTACCCTAAATATTTTAAGTTACCTTTACCTAAAGGGTATAATTTTGAATAGTATTCAGTGAATGTCGCATATTTGTGTATATATAATTACATCTCAAACAACAGTAAGCAGAGCCCTCATCCTATTAGAAAAAACAAAATGTACAGGCATACAAAGTTATAAATGAGAACAAAAAACAAACATATTTCATACCTGAGACAATCTCATAAGAGCAGACAATTAAAAAAAACTAACAACACTACAATCATAAAGTGCTTTTAACCTGAAAACTGTATCCAATCTACAAAAGCCAGAACAGAGTTTTCAAACATTTAAGTTATTTAGTATTCTTCTTCTTCTTGCTACCTTCTTACTGCTGAGTGGTAATAAGAGAACTAGGTTCTATCTAAAACAAAAATGGCACAGGGTAAGCAAATATTTTAGTTATATATTACTTATATATTATATCTGACACAGATGATATTACAAATTAGATAATCATGAGATAAACTAAAAGGACAACTGGCATCTATACAATAGCCAGATATTTTCATGAGCTGCCTGTTTAAAGTAAATCATTTGAGATTAGTTTTTGGGAGGAAGGTAAAACAAAATAGCAATCACAGGTACTGACTGTATAAGATATAAAAATAAAGTATAATAGGCCTGTCTTTGAGTCCAAAGATTAATGACGAATAACAAAAAAAATTATATACAAACATTAACAATATTCTCATGATATGGAAGTTATCCAGAAAAAAAAAACCTGGCCAGTTACAAATATTTAGTAAAAGTAATGTTTTTGTTTATTAAGATGTAGGTCTTCATAAGTTTATGTTTACATAAACCATCAGACAGGGTGGCCATAAGAGACAAATTTTTCCAATGTATAATATCATCATTAATAGAAAGTACAAATAAACATTTTTGCTTTTAAAGCTAATTTAGACAGAAGAATTGAATTACAATTGTAACATAATATGCTCCATCTCAGTGACAAAAAAAAAAACCATTAACTTAATTGGATCTTGAATTATACAATAACAATGTCTTCAATAATAAGAGATAAAAGAATTGTGTAAAACACCTAATCCTTAATAATAAACCCCAGTATCTGTACACTTCAAAAGACGTATAGAAAAAATATGAGTGGATAGATTTCATCAAATTTATCAGGCAATTTATATAAATATATATATATTTATCTTTATTTATTTTTCAACAAGCTAGTATTTAAAAAAAAAAAAAGAAAAGAAAACCTTACTAATTTAAAGAGAGAATATTGTACTTTGTCTTGCTTGCTTTTGGAGTACCATACAATAAATGCTATCTTCAAAGAAAACATTTGAACATTGTTGAAGTGTATTCTTATTCTTCATTACTCACTGACCACAGTTGAACAACAGATGTTTATGTATGCACATTTTTGTTTAAAATACACAAAATTCCCTTTGGGGGTGGGAGGAATTTAAAAAATGAATATTTCAACATCATTAATAGATGTTTGTATTTTATATTGAAGAATGAGGATCTCAAAAGATTCTAAGCCAATAAAATACTTAATAAATCTCTAATTATTCTGATACTGTTACAAGATATCTTCAACTGAAACTAAAATAGTCAAATATGGCCAGCCACATGTGGTGCGCCATTGTTTTTTTTCTTTTTCCTCTGCTTGATAAATTTTGCATTAGAATTAGAAAATCATTAAAAAGTCACTCTATTGCAACCCAAATCCAAAGAGAATAAAATTATATATTTAAAACAGAATGTGATCCAACCCATAAAAGTTAAAAAAAAATTCTGATAATGATAAACTTACTTTAGGTAAAATAAAAATTATCTTCTATTAAAAGCTTTCAAAATTTTCAAAGCAATTGACTACCGAGAATATATTTTTAGCACCATGGTACAACATCAAAACTTTTAGAAAAAATAAAAGGAGAAAAGAATGAATATGTAAAATATTTACATTGCATTGTTATACTACCATACAATTTATGGCCATATTCATTGAAACAGTAGGTTTCCAATATTCCAAAGAGAAAAAAAAATTAAACAGTATTCTTTATTTAAATAGTGCGAAGTGTCTTTTTCTATCTTTCTGATGATCAAAATACTGATACACAAACAATGTACCTTTCATAAAGTAAGCAAATCAAATTGCTTCAAGAATTGTACATAATTGTAACATTTTTTTGCATTTTTTTTTCTCTTTTAACACAACCTAAGACAATTACAAGAAAAATATGTGTTAGCATAGGGTATACAATATAGTGTATAATTCTTAGCCACCACCTTAAATAATGAAATACACATATTGCTTATCTGGTGAATGCAGCAGTATGAGCATAGAATATACATTTAAAAAACTGATAAGCAGAACCTAATATACAACAATACAATAATAAATTGTTTAAACGATAGATTTGTAGAGCTTATTCATAATAAAGATATTTGCCTTTATGGGGAGAGGAGGGGGACAAATTAATGCTTACCTTACAATGACTGACTATTCAAAGGCACAAACATGTAGAAAATACTTTTGACAAAAGTCTCAAGCTCAGCATATTTCCCAAAAAGATATAATCATCTAGTGCTAACTAACTGGAATCAGTTTGAATCATGCTCAAGGTCCATAACATTTCCATTTCTGTCATTCAGGTGTTTTGCCCTTGATGACTTTTTGGTTCCGGGTCTCAAATCTCGAAGGATATCACTCTTGATGAAGCGATACAACAACACAATATTGATGATGTCCATGACAACCATACTGATGCTCACACACACCAGATAAACAAGTGAGACATGCTCATGTAGAGTGAACAAAGAAACTGTGATAATCGTAAGAGGACCTCCTCGGAAAACTATAAATGTAGCTAGATTCAAGTACTTGATAACGACATAATACTTAGAGCTAAAGGGGGTCTTCTCCATCTGTAGGAGTTTTCTCCAGTGCAAGAAGACAGAGTTGACTTCTACACTTAGGGCAATGAGACTAAATCCAATCTGTGCTTTTGTGACCACGTTATAGATAAACATGCTGACAACCTGTCAAGAATAAGCACAGTTGGTAAAACTACAAATTTCATAAAGATCACTCACAGGCATCAACAAGCATCATTATAGTTGTGGTTCAAATATCTTACTTACTGCAATATGGTGGGCTGTTAACTCCCACAATGTCAAAACCTTTCCTTCAAAGCACAGGTCCAGAAAGTCATATACAAAGTAACCTAATGGACAATAAAGTACAAGAAAATGTCTAGTCAGGTTGTAATTTTTGACAAACTATTAGTGACACATAGTTGTACTTATAGCATCTCTAACGTAAAAAAAAACCCACTAGTTTTATAATTTTATTTTTCAAATTTTGATTTTAAATTAATTCTATGGTTTTTGTGATCTTAAAATAATTTTTTTTTTAAATTAAGAAGAGTATGTATCTATTCACATTCCTTGACATTGATTTGTGCAGTTGAGATTAAGGTATAGTATTTGCAAATTCAAACTGGTGCTTTTATTCCAGTCTATCTAA